CAGACATACCTCTGGGAACTGTAAGAAGTCGTCTCCAGGGCCAGCACCCTTCTTGAACAGACGTCGCAGCTTTCCGTTCTGCATTGCGGTGGTGACGTAGTTGCGCACGTGGTACTCGTCTTCTGACAGCAACCGCTCGACTATGGCTAAGAGCCTGTCATGCTGGATGGTGTCAAAGGCTGCCTTGACATCCACTGTCACCATGTACACTGGGCTGAGAACATGTGCATAGCATGGCGAATGGTTTAGCCTGTGAACATGTGCATAGCATGGTAAATGATTTAGCTTGTGGACATTTGCATAGTATGGTGAATGTTTTAGCCTGTTAACATGTGCATAGCATGGTGAATGGTTTAGCCTGTGAAAATGTGCGTAGCATGGTGAATGGTTTAGCCTGTGAACATGTGCAGAGCATGGTGTATGGTTTAGCCTGTGGATATATGCATAGCATGGTGAATAGTTAAGCCTGTTGACACGTGCATAGTATGGTGAATGGTTTAGCCTGCGAACATGTACATAGCATAGTGAATAGTTTAGCTTGTGAACATGTGCATAGCATGGTGATGGTCTAGTCTGTGAACATGTGCATAGCATGGTGAATGGTTTAGGTTGAAAGCTCTTGTCCAAAAATATATTGGACTATTATTGAATTGTCACTGTGGTGCAGAGTGAGACGGTATAGCAACGCCTTTGGCTTAGTCTTGGCGGATGGTGTCGTGGGTTACCATGGCAACTGTCAGTGGTGTTTGAAGGGCTAGTCTGTGACAGTAGACGTGCCTTGTTGATTTGATGCGATATCTAATCAAAGAGACGGAGGTCGGTATTGATACCCTGGACAACCCTGAACCCACCCCTCAAATAAAAATTAGGACATAAACAGTCCACTTCAGCAGCTATTTGGGTGCCATTTGTGGTACGGTTTGTGCGTATACATTTGGGCCCTTTGAGTGGTCTGTGCAATGGTACCTACTTGCGCGGCTTAGCAGTCTTCTTCCACCTCTTGATAAACGGACTGAGGATGTCGTAGATCCCCGCCAGATTGTTGACACTTGACGTGACACCATGCGTGACACCTTCCTTCCCACCACCGCTCCGGTCGAGACGGCGCTCCTGTGGTGTGTATTCAACACAAGTGAAACATAAGGCAACTCGATGTCACAGAGAGAGATACGGCCGATGTACTATCAGTTCAACAAGAGTGAAACATAAGGCAACTCAATGACACAGGGAGAGATACCGAAAGTGTGAACAGCCACTGCACGTGCTCAGAAGACAGGCACACGAAAGTGTGAACAGCCACTGCAAGTGCTCAGAAGACAGGCACACGAAAGTGTGAACAGCCACTGCAAGTGCTCAGAAGACAGGCACACGAAAGTGTGAACAGCCACTGCAAGTGCTCAGAAGACAGGCACACGAAAGTGTGAACAGCCACTGCAAGTGCTCAGAAGACAGGCACACGAAAGTGTCAACAGCCACTGCAAATGCTCAGCAGACACGAACAGTGCAACACGGGGAGGATCAAGGAGAGACTAATGGGTGTAGGGAAACGGATGGGGCAAACACTCCAACCATAAACCAAGTTAAGAATTATATATATATAGAAGGTACACACAATTGTATGGACAGACGGCGCAAATACCCTAAGCATAAACCACGTTTTAGACCTACACATACAGAGGGTACACACAATTATATGGACCAAGACAGCATAAGTACCCTAAGCATAAAGCATGTGTAGACCTATATATACGCAATCACGTCGCACAGTCACAGACACCGATTTTAGGGTTCAATTAAACCCTAAAACATAAATCCATAGAACAAATACAAAAGTATATCCAAACAGAAAAGCTAATGATTCATAGCGAGTGTGCGAACCGAATATTCAATCCACGAGAGAATACATGCTAATTCATAACTACAGGTTTGTGATAAGTATTGGCCTTTGATTCGATAACTGCACATGGATGTGTACATATAATTAACGAAGCAAACACGTAGGATAGTTGCAATGGATACAAGAGGGAATCGCACTAGAAGGGCCGTTCTATATGTACGTCCATCTCAGTAGATGGAGTTTCGGTACCTTTTCAAACGTCAGCACTTGGAACAAGTTCTTGAGGCAGTCATTGGTGGACGGTTGGTGAAAGTTCCCCTGGAAATTAGGTAAAAGTGCATACGAATGAACAGTAGCTAATTGTGCATATATATAAACTGCACATTGGCTCAATGGGAATATATATATG